CAACATGGCTATGCATGCTGAGCCTGCACCGGCCGCTGGGCAAGCGCTCCCGAACGGCACCCACGGTGATCTGCCGCTGCCAGGTTTTGCCAACGACGATCCCGTTCCCCACGCTCGTCTCGACGACGACATTCAGGACAACGCAGACGACGACGTGAAGGACGACGCAGACGCAGACGACGACGTGAAGGACGACGCAGACGCCGACGACGTGCAGGACGACTCAGACGCCGACGACGTGCAGGACGACTCAGACGACGACGACGTGCAGGACGACTCAGACGACGACGACGTGCAGGACGACTCAGACGACGACGCCCTCATTCGCCGACGCCGTCACCGTCGCCCTCGGTCGCCGTCGCCGGAGATTGCCCGCCGACTTCGCCGACGCGTCATGCCCGAAGAGCGCGCGGGTTTTAGCATCGGGGGTATCGTCAACTGCATTCGCAACTGGTTCCAGTAGACGCGTCTGCGAAAATGTCGATTGCATTTACTGACAAGTGGCTCCATTAATCAATGTCTTGTGTCGAGCTTATTTTGGTCTTTCTTCGTTGTTCGTTGTTTGCCTCTCGTACGACGTTGTCATCTTCACCCGGAGACGCCAGCGACTGCGGTGGTTGAATTGTCATACACCAGTAGCGACCGATCTCGAGTACCGCTTCGTTGGCTTCTGGACGACAAAAAAGCTCTTGCTTGTCACCGCCAATTTTCCATCCAAGGGGCGTCAAGTCGAATAATACGCCATACATTCACGCAACTTGCTAGACTACGCCGGACGGCTCCACCACACGCTGATGGCCGACATGGGCAATCGCTCGGACGCGTCGGCACAGTTGGAGCTGAGCCCCTTGAGCAACGGCGATTCCTTCCGGGCGACTTCGATGCTTGCGCACGTAGCGCTTCCGGTCCGAAACAAAGATGACGAGCGCCAAGCCAAAGGCGATCGTGGGAATGAGGAACGACGCAAAAAAGCCGTACTCGACCGGAACGTACGGCTCGTAGCCGTC